AAGGCATAAGGGCTGGCGTGCAGAATTGCAAGCTTGCTGCAGAATGGGCAGCATCCAGGACTCTGGCGTGAAGTGATGCAGGCGCCGGTCAGAGAGTGCAAGGGTTGCCTGCCTGCAGCTTGGCTGAGCGATGACTCTCATTGATAGTCAAACCGGAGTATGCGCTGGGCGGGTGAGGGATCAAAAGAGATCTGGATCAAAAAGCCAAGCATCAAAGTAATCAAACGGAGGATTTGGGTGCCTGAATACTGTAAACAGTAAACGGCACGATTCGAAGGGTCAAAAAAAACTAGGAGGATGAACAAATCATGAAAACACAGGGAGGTAATGAAAAATGATGCAAAAACATGAAAAACCGATAAGACACCATGGAAATAGTGAGAACGATGACAATACCAATGAAAAACAATGAACACGACGAAAATAGTGAAACGCCGGAGAATAACAAAAAAATGGAAAATGATGAAACATAATGAAGCACAATAAAAATCATGGAAAGAAAAGTCATCCAAAATGATGAATTATGAAGTCATGACAAATCATCACAATCATGACAAGCTCGTGAAAATTTGCGACACATCATGAAAACCGATGAAAACTAATGCAAAATCATGGAACGTTATGACAATTACGAAAAGTGATCATGAACCATGTGATGAAATAAATATGACGACAAAATGATGAAGTTTTTGGCAACAGGACGCACAGGATGAAACATAGTTCACTATCATGATGAACAAATATGAAAGAATGAGATCTGACAAAGCTGACGAAAACTGATGGAATACGAGGATAATCACGCAAATACTGAAAAGTGATACTACAATTAAAATAAGGGAATTTCATGGCATATGATGGAACATGTTCAGAAGTGATCCATAATCAGGACAAAGGGTGAAAAAAGGAACATGAGGGCAGATGCTTGCGTGAATTTTCTTTGTAATGAATGGCGGGGGGGATGGCACAGCCTCCCAGCTGCAATTGCGGGACAAAGATGAGAACATGTGGCGCCAGCTGATGCACTGCAAAAGCATCTTTGCCTGGCCACCCCTGAAGGGTAGGGTGCGCAGCATGGGAGCATAAAAGACCATTCCGTCAGTAACTTCGCGGCAGCCTGAAAAGAAACTAGCACTTAAAACGTGACACGACGAAACGTGATGATGATTATGAAAACGGCTGAAAACCATGAAAATGATGAAAGATCCTTCCTTCCTTCCTTCCTGCTTTGTTCCCTCCGGGCTTCCTTTGGTGCGGTTCCACGAAAATGCGAGAAGGCACGCGAGGACTGGATTCGGCGCTGGAATCAGACGACACTTCACACGAGAGCTCCATTTCAAACCAGAATTTGGGTGGGTTACGCCACAGCTGGATTTCAGGTTAGAATTCGACGACGCGCCAGGCGAGAGCACAATTTCTCAAGAGGACGCAAAAAAAAGCTTAATCAGCACCAACAAAAATACAAGAAAGCTCCGCGCGGGAGCTCAATTTCTATGATTTTTTCCTGCTGATCCTTTTTGGATTTTTGATCCCTATCCCGCACTGGGCTTCGTATGCCGTATGCCACACTAAACCCAAAAAGATGACCATATCATGACCTATGTTGTTCAATCTACGTCTCCAGATGTCTCCTATCTAGTTCACGGAGGAATGCTAGACCTGGATTCAAAATTGCTGACGGATGGCTGAACTACTCTTCTGCTCCTTATGCGGTTGCTCATGTTTCTCTCATTGTCACTTCGGTTGCGTTTGCCTGCCCGTGCTCGTTTCCTGCACTTCTTCTCGTTCCAGTAAGACGAAAGGCCTCGGAGGGGCAAGCCGTGCAGACCGTGCACGGGAGAACCCGTCTCTCTTTTGGCTGCAGACCATGTGATAGGTGCAACCACTGCCTCTCAACTTGCTTCGCACGACATAGGCTGATGTGGCAAACGGCTAGTCATCAACCTTCATGCTCAGGCTCAGGCTACCAATATGACTGCTGCCCCTTGCCTGCACCAAGTGGTTGGCCCTGTTTCTTTGAGAAATGATCTCGGATTGCAAGCCTTGCCTCATGTACTGCATGCAGACACTACAGTATGCAGCATGGGATGGAGACTTTGCCCAGTGTTGCGGTGCCATGGATTTTTGTGAGAGAATGCTGGGCGTGAGAAAGCTTACGCACGCTCACACGCATGTCTTCAAGCGCTGCGGGTGGACGCTCAAATGCGTTTGAGCCCCGCGAGCTCTATCAGAAATGCACAAAGAAAAAGGTAGGCAGCCAGCAGAGTACGCAGACTTGTGGCGCAGAACTTTTCCTTCGAGGTTGCCTGTCGGCATCCCTTTGGGATGCCAAGCGGTCCACAAGCTTAAGATAAGCTCTGACCAAGATGGGAATCACTTAACTTCGCCGCAGCCCTGCGTCAACTTGAAACATGCATTTGAGAGGTCAGAGTTGATTGCAGTGGGAGCGTATCCCATCTTTCTCGTTCCATGCCAGTCCATACCATTGTCCTTGAAGTCACCAAAAACGGCGAGATCTCGGAGAAGTGTCTGCTTCTAAGCGCATGCTGAGGAAGTCACGTCTGCAGCTTTCTGTCGACCCAAGACCTTACATGCAATCTGGCGGACTCATTAATACCAGTCCGATGATGTAACAAGGCTTCGGCGGTAGAATTGTGTTTGCCCTATCGGGCACTTGTCGGGACAGCAAGGACCTCAACTCATCATGTGCATCCGGGTGCTCTGTGGTAAACACCTCAGATCTCAAGAACATCCCGTGTCCGAAGCATTCGCGGCTCAGCGAAGAGTTCTGTTGCGCTTCTCGATTCACACATCCTCAGCGGCGCGTCTGGCAGATCGGGTTAAGAAGCCGGGGCATGGCAAGGCAGCCAAGGTAGATACAAGTTTGGGGCTGGCAGTCGCGCTGGCAATGTGCCCTTTGCCCGCAGGAAGTCTGCAAACTGCGCGCTTCGCTGCGAGGTGACCTAAAGGATCTGCCCGCTTGCAAGTTTCAAAGCCCTGAATTTGACCAACCTACTATTGCTTCGGCAAGGCCCTTGCGCCGTGGAGCGGCGACGAGAACGTCATTGCCATCTTGGCGCGACCTTTGCTTGCCAGCTGGTGGTTCGAAGGCCAAGCTTGCAGGTTCTCATGACTCGTAAACGTGCTTCTTCTCGAAACACTGATATTTGTTTGGCAGCCGCTTCTTGATCCTTATCGCCGTAGCCTTACGGGCAAGTCCAATTCCTTTGAGGGACGTTTGAACGACTGCAAGATCTGCAATCCTGCCCCTGAGAAATGGCTGAGGACGTGGCGCTCTGGTCGGCTCTGAGCAGCAGGGAAGCAGTAATCGAACGGCCTTGGTCACTGGATTGGCTTGAATGTGACCAGGCTGAATCATCGGCTTGCTACTGCGCCCCCTGGTGTACGCGTCGTAAAGTGGCATCATCCAAACCAGCGATAGGCTACTGCCAGAGATCACCCTTGAACTGTCCACTCCGAATGGCATCGTTTCCGTTCCCGTATTCGCCCTACTTCTTCCATGGCCTTCCGGTAAGTATCCCAGGCGCACAAGACCCGCTCATCAAGAAATGAACTTGGCTACGGCTAAGGTAGAATTTCGCCAAGAGACTGAGCTTTGAAGTTATCAGCTTGTTCAGGCGCATGTCTGTGACCTGTGGAGGGTCAGTGAATTTCTACCTCGTGAGCTGATGCTGAGCAGATTTTCCGTGATGCCCACGTAGTGATCTCTGCACTTCGTCCTCAAAATGCTCAAAGAACAGCTGGCGAATTTCAACAAGGCCAAGTACTGGAGCAAACCTGAGCGCGCAACACTCTTCTCTGAAAATGGCACGACCACATCCTTTCTTCCAACAAGTTGCTGCAAGTTGCAACTCTAGATTCTGTTGCTGCCCGCAATTTCTCCATTGACACGTAATTCATTCAATAGGCCAGTTGTCAGGACCCTTGCTTGCCTAATTACCGAACTACTCCGTCCGGTCGCTTACGAAAAGGCTGTCCTCTGGGGGAGCAGGACCCCGAAAGCGTTCATGGTTCCTATGCAGTGGAGCAGCAGGCATCCAACCAGTCACAACCAAGCCCATCCAAGCCCCTTGCGCGAAGCTGGATCCCAGCCGCTCCAGGTCACCGGATGCTGCGAGGCTGATGGTGACCGGACCTGACATGTTGAAATGTTGGAGCCTTAACAATCACACGGCTTCACACGTGCTGACAGAAGATCACCAGTGACATCCAATGGCCTTTGGCGAACTGCTTGGCAGCCAAGCGGAAGGAATGCCGCTGCGCGCATACCTCTCCAGTGGTCTTGCAAGCTGCCGGAACTGGAGCTGTATTCTCCTGGATCTGCAGTCGCTCTCGCTCTTGGCGTTCACCCATATGCTCTCGGATCATGCATCGGCATCATCATTACACTCACCTTCCAGCATCACCATACTTCTGCTCCCGCCCTTCATCTGCATATCAAAGCCTCAGTGTTACCCAACCTCCGTGCAGACCTAATTCTTGCAAGAATCTCTGTGCCAATCCAAGTTTTGGGAGTCGCTTCCCAAATAGCATTGGTGGTCCAAATGCTACTGGCATACGGTGCTGGCATCGGGCCTTGTTGGATCCTGACGATGGGCTGCTCTGGAGTGACATCTTGGCTTGAGCCATACTTTCAAGTAGCTTCAAAACCTCCGAATTCGCTCTGACGGTTGCAAAGGCGTGCACGCAGCTCCTTGTTTCTGCCACCCACGGTGGCCAACATGCAGTGCTGTATCTACAGCACAGAGAGTAGCTGTGCCTGCCAAAGCCATGTTTCAGCTTGACAAAACTACCCTGCAAATTATGAGTGACACGGCATAATCTACACACTTACGCCATCTTCGAATTAGTTCGGGCACCATGTTGATGTCTGCATTTGTGTCCAAACGCTCGGAGGATTTGTTGTTTGCCTGGTAGACGTACGAACCGTATTGGCACGGAGTGGGTTGTTTAGCTGTAGCACCTGGGACCTTCTGGTCATCCTACCCGCCATGCCGGCCCATGAGCTCACGCAAAGCGGCGGCCGTGTGGCCGGCGTGGCCTTCCACGCGCACGTTTCACAAAAATGCCCCGAAGGAAGGCAGCAAATAACAACAGCACCATACAAAGGACCGAGGGTTTGCCTGAGTGTGGTTTGAACGCAAACCGAAACTGACCATATTACAGGATCTCCGCGCCGCAAAGACACATCAGACGCGTGTGATTGCTGACCGACCACTTGCGCTTGCCTTGATGCGCGCGGAGCTTCTGCAGCACCTGGCCAGAGCCTTCCAGCATTGCTACAAGCGGCTACCTACGCGCGAACGCCGAATAGCACGCACAATGCCGCGGGGCTTCCTAGCAAGCATGCCAAACCGAGAGCGCAGCTCAGCATCGGGAAGCGCTCTTGCAAGCGGTCAAGACGCTCCCTCCAGTCCTGCATAAAACAGCTTGCCGTTGGTTGCGTGGCAATGGTCAATTAAGGCTCTGCAAAGAAATCTGTTTTTTGTCACGCTGGCTGTGAGAGCAATACGGTCCTCCTCGCCAGCGCGAAGCTTGGGCTCATCTCAGTAGCTGGAACGGTGCGGTGCTAATGGTGCTATTCATTCTTGTAGCTGCTCATGCCCTTCGGCAAAGAGCACTACCTGAAACTACAAAATTTCCTCTACAGCACCCTCATGTACCGGATGTGGGCGTAGGAGCTTGGCTATTCATCTTGTAAAAAGCAGCCTGGGCATGTGCAATTTTTCAGGTCTCGGCCGTCCGCCTGTGAAGCGTCGGCCTGGAGGGTGATCACTGCAACCCACGCAACATACGTACACAGTGTGCGCGGTGCTGCCTCCTTCGGCTTCTTCTCTCGCCTGGACAAATCTCTGATGTGCGGTGCATATGGCAGCCGAGGCTGCAAGCCCGACCGACACGCTTCGCGTCTGTGATTGGACTCGGCTCTTTTTCAACAGCAGGCAAGCCCAGCCTGCATGCTGTGAAAGCAGGTCCTGCTGGGCCTGCTGCGATTCTGGCCCTGACTCAGCATCAATTTCGCGCTCATCCCCACCTGCAGGAGCTCGCCGGGCAGCGTCGGCTGAGTCATCCTCGTTGCATCTGTGCTTCTACGTGTCAGATACGAACTAGTCGAATCTTCATGCTGGGTGCAGGGCCAGCACAGGCTGCAGTAGGGGCTTGCCACGAGCATCATATAGCGGAAGCCAACCTCAGGCAAGAACCCAGAGAGCTAGCTCCCTGGAAGCCTACGGCTGTCTGACAATGTATGACTTTGCTTCAGTTGCGTGCACAGGAGAACAACGTGCAAAGCTTCATTCCAGCGAACCATACCAAGCCAGAGCGAGAGCCCTACCACGCAGAAACTGTAGCTTTGCGTCAACATGCTGGAGATCATTAACTGAATGCTACAGTACCTGCTGCATAGGCGATTCTCGATGCCAATGCGTGTCCTACAAGAGTCCAATGTGCCATTGGCATCCGACTACGTGGAAGCATGCGAATGCTTCCATCGCTTTCATTCAAAACTTGGAGAACTCCAGCTGAAGAGCTGACCTCTGTCAGTCTTCACCCACTGCTCTAACACCTTCACCTCGGTTGCTCGAAGATTGTCATGCTAAATCGGTTCCTAAAACACAGTAGGCAAGTAACAGTGGCGTGCGTACGCACTTGATGCATGGAGCGCCCGGGAAGCTGGCGGCCTCTCCTGCTGCAACGCTGCTGTCCAATCTGTCATTGAAATCAGGGCTTCTCCTGGCCGTCACTGCGTTTCACCCCGGAAAAACCCACCACAGCACCGTTCTGCTTCCTCCAAGAGATGCCATGAGGAGCAATGACGCGGAAATGCGAGCCCCCTTGCAACACTGGCCGCAGCAAACTATTGCGAGTCATGCAAACTATCCTGCAGATCTGGACCATGCCTGACCCAGATTGCGCTGCTTGCGCAGGTCGTGCGGCCTTCAAAGTCACGCGCTCATTTGCTTTCAGATGTCATGTCCGTTCGTGAATTAACACACTCAAGCTGCTTGATCACCTGGCTGCATGTTTTCTGCGCCTTGTCCTGCCGCTCATAGCCACCTCTTGCTTCCAGCGCTGCACTGCTGAGCCTGGCACTTTTCGTCCAGGCCAACAGGTCTTGACCCTTTGAAGGAATCGGCCGCAAGGATCCTGGCCTTCTCTCTTCCTTGGCCACACTACACAGGATGTGGAACATGGAGCAAGCTCTTCGTCACAGCTTCTTCACGGCGAACTGTTTTCTCGCTTTCCATGGAGGTTTAGGAGCCCCCACATTTTGAAGCTCGAAAATTCAGCTAATTCTGCCTTGTGATTCCCAACATTCTTCCGTTGTCGCCCTCCTTGTCCCATGAAGTCATTCTGTACTTTCGCATGACTCCGACTGTCTGTCAGATGCTTCGGGCTCGGGCAGCGGCCTTATCCTTCTCCTCCTCGGGCTTAGCTTCCCTCAGAGCTCTTGAAGACGTGAGACACAAGCCCTGTCTGGCTGGATGTCTCGGATGTCTCGGGACCCAACAAGCTGCCAGCCTTTGTATTTGCGGCATCCTTCTGAACCTCAAATCAATGGCGACCACTTTTCAGGATCACTGCCTGGAGCAAACATCATTCATCTAGCGATTGTTTAATGATTTTGTTTAGTGATTCTTAGGTGATGTTTTGCTGATTCCTCGCTTGGCCGGACCCCCAAAAAGATTTTTCCAACTGGGAAGTGAGTTTACGCACCCCTTGTCACTTCTTCTTGAGCTGTCATAGGCGCTTCGTGTTTCGAGTCGAGCTTCGGGAAACCTCGAGTTTGGATTTTCTGGTGTAGACTGTCGGCCCCAAATACAGCTGAAGAACTGAAGGTGGAAACGAGTTTGAGTCATAGCGGCGCAGTTAAGACGATTTGGCTAAGGCGGAGGCTAAGAGTCGGATCAGTTCCGAAGGCTAAAGGCAGATGTGTCGTTCGAAGCAGTCATAGTGGCGCAGTACGGATGATTTGGCTAAGGTGGAGGCGAAGAGTCCGATCAGTTCCAAGGGCTAAAGGCAGATGTGTCGTTCGAAGCAAGTACTTCTGAATCATTTCATGGTGTCCCTTTCGCATCAGTAGTGGCTGCAGGGAGGGGACGACTGTTAGTCGGATCAATGTCGAGGCTGCTTTCTCAGGGCCTCTTGTTCGGGATAACCAATGACGAACCAATGGGAATACCAATTGCATGACTGTAAGTGCCCGTGTCGGGTAAGATTAAACCGCTCACTCTTCTTTTCGCTATTTGCGATCACTCCTAAATCGCCAGGAGATTCCAGAGTGTACAGAGAAGGCTCACACCTGCTGAACCCAGATCACTTTTTTGATCATTCTTTGATCTCTCCTAAATCAATAGGACTCAATAGAGCAATCTTGGGCTTGCACCCGACGGTTGCCTGTACGCCAACTCAGAATGCTAGGTAGCCGCGCCTACGGCACATCCAACCGTTACTTCCCTAAGAGGTTTGCTGGAAGCTTGTCCATGCATGACTTACATGCTCCATGCGCAGTCGTGCTTGGGGCCCTGGCAACATCGAAGAATGCGTATCTAAGGAAGCACTCAAAGAACCTGTTGAACTCCTTTTCGGATAGGACGCCATCCTGAACAGACGAAACATCTATCGACAGCTACGATAGACAAACAAGATCGGAACAGAGTGTCATGACAACCAGGGGACCTGGCCGCTATGGTGACGTTGACTGCAGGAGACTTGAAGAGCGCGGCAGAACATTGAGACTAGGTCGTTACTCGAAGGGCATGAGGCCGGTAGGCCAGATGATGAAGCAGGCGTCTGCAACTTTCCAGCATTTCCTCTGCCCTGGATCGTCCTTGTTGAGGTCTGATGCATCGAAGAATGATCTCAAATTGCCTTCCCGGGGCCTGCACACGAGCATTGCTCGCACTTTTTGGTTAAAAACACAAGGCTCCAACTTACTCTGGCCAATACATGCAAGCGTTGCGGTTGCAGGCCGAAGCTGTCGTAGAGACTGTTGACCAGTGGGAGGACCTGTCATGCACCAGCTTTCAAAACTCCAGCAACAGATTTGCAACCCGGCTGCCTCAGACCAACTTAGCACCCCATCGCCATTGGTGTCGAACCTGGAATGTTGGCAAATGGCAGCCCGGCACGCAGTGAGCCCTGGGCTTGCACAGTGTGCCTCAACAAATGCCTGACGTTATCTCTCTGCATCTCTCTACAGTGATTCTGTAGCATTGTAAAACTTACTGGCGTCAGAGGCTGTCCCTGTTCGTGCAGCTGTTGGGTAACAGGGTTGCGCATCCCACCCGAGTGCAGCTCCTCCGAAAGTTATCCTTGCACACGGCGGCAAACATGACAGGACCTGCAGGCCCCCCCATCGAGCAATCTGCGCAAACGGCTCATGCTTCCATGTCACTCCCATGACATCCAATGATGTCCCTTGCATTGGCTGAGGTCAGGACTTGTCAGAAGCGTTTTTACATGCTCCTTGTCATCCTCAGATGCGGGGAGCTACACGAAGACCACACTCGTACATTAATCAAATCTGGGGTCTTTGCTGGATCAACTTCGCGTTTTCCAGTGCCACCGAGGTCCTGCCAAACGAGCCCAGAGTTCAAGAAGGCTTCTCTGTCGGCTTGACCTGTGATTCTTGATTCTCTTTTCGATGCTGCTCCAGATTTCTGGCGGCACTGCGCCGGTGTGAATTGACAGAGACTGCAGAGCTTGTCGTAATGGAAGCGGCAAGTCAGCCCGGATGCTCAGCAACTTGCCGTCCAGACCTGTGCAGCTTGTCGGTGTGGCAGCGAGGCTTCAAAAAGAGATCCTTCTCTTGTCAAAGCAAAGTCCTAAAGATTCAAGCTTCTCCTGAACTGTGGTTCTGAAGGAGGTTACGCCACATCTCAAGAAGCTCAACCTACTGCATCTCTAGCCCTGCCCCATGCTCACAGCTAGACTTCATATGCACCAAGCCGATGATAGGCAGGCTTGCTCACGACCCTATCTGGCCTAACAGTCGCAGCTCCCAGCAGTGAAGGAAAAGGGTCGGGCACCAGTCTGTGACAGCCAGCCTGGGCATGTCATAGAGCTCCAGACGTGGCAACATTTGACCCCTCGAAGTCGCGTGCCAATGCTGTAGCTACAGTACGTATCATCTTCAGCAAGTGAGCTTAAAGACCAAAATCTGAGATCACGACGCGCGTTCAGCAGCAAGGCCTGTCAGCTTCTGAGTCTAGCTGCTCTAGCTTATTCTGTATCTAGTGTGCTTGTGCACTTGGCATCCGTTTAGCTTCTAAGCTGTTTCCAACAAGGAGCCGACTTGGTAACTTGGAAGTCTTGGCATTGGGGGATCTGAAAGTCACGCTACTTGCCACTTAATGCCACTTACATCTACTTACCCCGCATTTCCGGGACAGAGTCCCAATGTGTCCTAATCTTCTGTGGAGCAAGTCACACGAGTGGGGCGAGCTGGGATGTGGGTGGGGGCGAGTGGGGCGAGGCGAATACGGTGAAATGGGGCGGAGCGACTCGGGGCAGGGTGTTGTCACGTTCTCTTCTCAGGCGGAGTGGGCCTGGGATGGACTGTGCCTGGTAACTAGTGTAGCTACCTGCGAGGCCAGTCATCCTGGAGAGTGCTTGCCATCAGGGCAGGATTTTGCTTGTGGGACACTGCATTCTGAGGCACTGCCCGTGATCATGCTGCCCAGCACGGCTGCCGAGATGTGAAGCATGTGCTGTTGTGTGTTTTGCTTTTTGAGCTTTGCCGCGGGATGCTTTGCTTGCTGCCTATGCCATGAAGATCCATGAAGTGTATGATTGGGCGGTGTGCCAGGGCAAACAGATTTTGAGTTGTGGTGTTGGACACGGAAGCTTTTGTTGACTCTGGCTATTGAGTGGCTTCTTCTTTGCATGCAATCCCATATGCTCAAAGAGACTTGACCGCTCTCAGACGCCGGGCGCCTCTTTGAGAAATGCCACTTCCGCTGTAAAAAGCTTCCTCAGCGGCTTCAGATCCATCTCCTGCCTTCCGTTCCAGGTGTTGGCCACCCTCCCACGCACCACACAACACCTGATCCCACCTGCCAAGTGTAGCTCCTGTCGCCGACCAGTGGCATTCCAACCTCACTCCAGGCGACTTCAATAACTTGGGGCAGCTGTGGCTCTGACTGACAACAAGCATGCACCAGGATACCTCCTGTGATTTTCAGCGACTTCCCTACGAGTACCGTCTGATAGGCTCCAGGCGCTGGCCATATGTGCACGAATTTGATGAGTCCTGCGGGTGTTTTCCATTGCTAGGCTTGTGGGCGCCGTTTTGAAACACCACACAGTTCCTCCCGGTCACAGGCCACACCTGCAGAAGCGAAACTCCTGGGGCGCGGGAGTTCTTTCTGGAGGTGCCACGCTGACCGAAGCACTTACCGCCGTCTTACCACGGTCCTTCAGGATGCGGCTGCTGTGTTGCGAATGTAGCCAGAACCTTGTATCGCGTGCGCGCGGCTAGGCCAGAGGCCGACACCTGAGGTACGCTCTGTGCCAAGTGCGAGTAGAATCAGAATAAGCAGCTACAAAAACCGGTGCAAGAACTGCACTGTGTATTTGGTAAGCCCGGGCCTCAGTGTGACTGTAACCATGTGGCGAGTGCGTAGTCTGCAGTGGACTGCTGATCTCCCCTTCTGAAGCACTCGGCTGGCCAAAGCACAAGCATAAGTACGATTTTGATACAAGGCGTCCCGCAAACTGAGCCAGAAGCCACCAAGCCTGGGAGCTGGCTGCACTGCCCACAGCTGCAACCAAAACACCAGACGTTGGTTTGTCCAAACGAGAAACCTGGGTCACTGTGTGCTTCAACTTCGCAGATAGCAATTGAAGCATCTCCGCTGTGGAGTAACCAGCAGGTTTGCACACAGCCACCAGGCCGGCCGATTGAAAAAGCAGAACCAATTCAGGCTGGCTCCCCTTCCCCTCACCTTGATCGCGAAACTCTCCTGTCTCGACCATTGGCCCAAATACAGGATTGTGGCGAACACATCCAAAGACATGCTGCCACTTGTCACTGCCGAAGTAGGCGCCTGCAATTTTAATCTGTTAATCCCTGCTTCTCTGCTGGAAAGCTATATTTGTTCCTGTTCCAACATCATACTGGTATATTATTCTGGTGTTTCTGGTTGCTGCAGGGCAATGCAGAGAGCCAAGTGCTATGTGATTTTGGCCGGCATGCCTCGTAAAGCTTTGAGCAAAGCCACAGCCGATTCCGTACCACGAACACTTTGAACAGCGCCAATGGCCGAGCCCGTCTCCACTCCGTTCGCCATGAACCCAGACTGCGCCATTGACTTGATCCTGAACTGTGCATGGTCACCAGCAATGTCAGTTCTTTGGTTTGGAGTCTGGGGTTAGCCGACAAAAGACAAACGAAGCATCTCACAAGGATGAAAATCTGAGGGTCAGAGCGACAGCATGTTCCCATTTAGCTTGGCGTGCGCAAACGCTGAGAACATTTGCGTAAGTGATGTGAGTTGCGGGCACGGCCATCTCTTTCAGAACACGAAGTGCTGCCATCCATGCTGACCCTTTGTCGCAGGCGCTCAGCAGCGCGTTGACGGTGACTGTGTTTTTGCGAACAAGGGAAGCCTCCATTACAACGACGAGTTCCACTGCTCGCAGCCATTGACTGGCCTTTTCACAAGTGCTGATTGCGGCGCTGTACGTGATCGTGTCCTTTTGTATTTCAGCAGCTGACATGTCGTGCAACAACTGGCAGGCCACTTGCCAGCGCTGTGCATTGCCACAAGAACTGACCGCCGCGTTCAGGGTCACTGTGTTGCGCTGCACCTTTTGACGAAGCATGGCTTCGAGGAGCTGGAGGGCTGCCTGCAGCACTCAAAGACACGCAGGAGCTAGAATCTGCAAGACTTGCCACAGCCATGCAAATCTGGGGTAAGTATCATACCTACTTACTTCTTATTTGGGGTGGGGGTCACGTCATCAGTTGAATCTTATCGGTGAATTAAGGATTTTCGGCGTTCGTATTTTATCTTCTTCTATGTTTTGGGGGTTGCATCGTGAGCCTTCAGTGCCACTATTTCACTGACCTCGTTGGGTGACCCAGCCCTCTCACCATAGCCAATCAAGACTAATAGAACTTGGTAGTCAAACCTGGGGTTTGTGGGATGCCGGCAGCATGCAGGGCAGTGGGGTCAGGGGTCCCGTCTCAGGGCGTCTTGCTTTAAGGAGCCAGCTGGATCTGGAAGGGCATCAACCCTGGAGTACCTGCTCCAGCTGAGGCTGGGTAGTTTGTGTTGTTGACCTTTGAAAGTAAAACACCTCTAGGACACTGTCGGCCCTTCCGGGTGGATTCAGCCATGGAGAAGCAAAACATAGGCCTCCCAACGCCAACTCTTCTCACAGGCGCTGATGGCAGCGCTGAAAGCGATGGTGCTGCTGCCGAGCGACATGTCGACCATTTCCTCCAAAAGGTCAAGGGCAGCAGTCCAAGCACTGCCTTTCTCACAGGCACTGATGGAAGAGCAGTAAGAAAAACTATCAGGTCGGAAGCTCTTTTCAGCTATATTCTGCAAGAGTTGCAGTGCCAGTGTCCAATTGCCACCCCTGGCTGCTGCCGCAATGGCTGTATTGAAATGGAACAAGTCGGGTTGCAGCTTCGCACCTTCCAGGTGGGACACCAGTCTCAGCACCTCCGGCCAGGTGCTTGCCCGGACGAACCTGGACAAAGCTGTTGTGACGAGCTTGGGGTTGTCGCGCCAAGCAGGTGGAATTTGATCTCCATTTGCCGGCTCTTGTGCGGTCTTGCCGGTACAAGCAGCTGTGCAGCACTGGGGGGTTTGCATCCATGCAGGCCAGGTGAGGATCGGCGGCTCCAAAAAATCCCCTTCTCGAGCAGATTTCACCACGAGCTTGGGCCGCAACCAAGAAAGTTGCTAGGCGAATGTTTCTGATTAACCATGAAATGTCCTAGCCGCACAGCTCATCCCTTTTCAGTTTTAATGGGGTCACATCTACCGCTCTCCATTTGCTTGCCCTGACAGCTCCCAGTCCCGGATTGCGGCGGCAGCTTGGCCTGACAAACAGGAAAGCGTGCAAGGTACGATTTTCTGGCTTCTGTCAGTCAACATGTAAGCAATATGGAGATGAATTGCATTGAATTGCGCAACACTACAAAAGTGTTGCTGCTACAGGTAAGAATGGAAGGCCAAACCGACCCTTCCGGAACTTGCTAAACTCCCCTGAACGCAGCGGTTAGGGCGAAGGCGAAGAAGGCAAGACTGGAAAGCACCAACACCATGTTGAAACGCATGTGCAAAGCTGAAGAAATCGACCGGCAAATATCATCAAGCACGCACCTTGAACTCAGACAGCTGGCGGCTTAACAGGCAGCACGCGAGAAGGTGCTGTTACCACGACCGGGGCGTACAGACTTGCACCACGACAAGAAATCAAGCTACCACGACTTGTTTTGGCAAATTCAACGACGACAAGAAACTTATCTCATCACGACTAGTTAGTTACTCGGCCAGTCCACATTAAAGGCCTTTTAAAGCTAAAACCTCCAAAAAG